TCAGTGTGTGTCCTGTGTGTGTGTGAGAGAGAGAGAGAGAGAGAGAGAGAGAGAGAGAGAGAGAGAGAGAGAGGGAGAGAGAGAGAGAGAGAGAGAGAGAGAGAGAGAGGGAGAGAGAGGGAGAGAGAGAGAGAGAGAGAGAGAGAGAGAGAGAGAGAGAGAGAGAGAGAGAGAGAGAGAGAGAGAGAGAGAGAGAGAGAGAGAGAGAGAGAGAGATCCTTTTGGGAAAGTGGTGGTGGTTAGGGTGAACAGAGTTTTGGAATGTTAACAGATGTCCTTGGCTTGCTGGGTCCAGTGACTGGGAGGTTGTCCTGGCAGCAGGCAGCTCTCTGAGAGGTTGGGGCCATGGCCTTCTTAGTGAGGACAGCATCCAGTTCAGGCAACACCATTACATGGCTCAGCGCAGCCAGCTTCAGACAATGAGGCCTTTCATGGGGCCTGGCTGGTGGCTCCCAGGGTAGACCGAAGGATTCTCTCCCCACCTTCTTGTGGGATGCCCTTCTGGTCCCTCGCATGGCTTTGTGAGAGACAGGATGGTGGGGGAGGAGAGGAGGAACTCTAGCTGCAGTCTGTGCTGGGATTGAAGCCCTGCCCTGTGGTCCAGTGGTCCACAGATTGCAGGTGTTTCAGATTCTCCTAGCATCCCTCCCAGAAGATGATAATTAGCCCCCATCCCCAGTTACCCTGTGGACCTGCTGAGCTCATGGTAGAAAGGACAGCTTCTCCCAGCTTAGCTTCAGAAGTCTGACTCAGTTTCACAGTGCCAAAAGTAAGTGCTCACTCAATAAATGTGTGGATGGATGTTTGACCTCCTTTAGTGTCATCCCCAAGATAACCCTTGGAAGCAGGTGTTATGATCCTATTTCTTTTCTCTTTGGAGACACGGTCTTTCTATATATCCTTGGCTGTTCTGGAACTCTCTATGTAGACCAGGATGGCCTAGAATTCACATATATTTGCATGCCTCTGATCCTATGTCTATGGGCAAGGAATCGGAGGCCTATAAGGAGGTTGAACAGCTTGCCTGAGAATGGACAGGCTCATTATGTAACTGCACTTGAACCTAAGCCAGGTGACCTCAACACCTGTTTCATGAGCTACCTCAAAGGCTTCCAAGCCTACTTCTCCCTTCAGGATACTCATCTCCCTTGCCCTAGGGCTGCTGCTCTAGGATGGGCCCAGCACTGTCTGTCCTCACTAACTGCTGTAGGCCATTCCCTCCTCCAGGGTATTTCAGGATGGAAAGGGACCCCATTGGCTTGGCCTTGAGGCTCCCAACACCATCTGTCTCCTTATGTCTCTACCCAGAACTCTCCTTTGCTGAACCGCCACTGTTCCCGCTTCTTTCCCTGTGGCCTCATCATACCTCAGCCCTCCCTTTATCCTTTAGGGCCCAGCTTGAGGTCATTTCCTTTCTCCCCTCCACGGGTGGCTATTTGGCACCTGCTCTGTTCTTGGCCTGGGCTCCCTCCTTATCCTGATGTGGTCAGTGCTATGATGGAGACAGTAGGGGAAAGGGGAGACGAGGCCGGGGCAGGGAACAGAGCTGGAGTGAGAAGGTACAGTGAGGATCCTGTGTAATTTGGAGCCATGGGGACAGCTGCTGGACTTAGTGACAGGACTTGCAGTGGCTGGATCTCGGTCCTGACAGCAGTAGGGAGTCATCTAGTAGTCTTGAGCAGGGGACACGCCTGACAGGGCTGCTCTTTAGGAAGGGCAGAGTGCCACAGGGAGACTGTGGGGGCAGCATCATGGGGACCCCTAGGAGGCAAGGCATAGCAAGTGGCTGTGGTTGTGGGTTTGTTTTAGTCTGAGAGTGGCCAATAGAGTGTGGTGGCCCCAGGCCAGGCTGTGGAAACATGTACAGTTAGAAACACAGGGCCAGAGTGGGCAGGCAGTGGGCGGGACCAAGCATTTAAGGAGCTGGGATCACTGGGACTTGGCTACTTGGAGGAAATGGAGGGGAAGCTGTTGTCAGGTTGCCTAGCAGCAGCCTGGCTCATGAGGGCTTCTATTGGCTCCCATCTAGGTGACACTGGGCAGCCTTTCCCTTCGTGTCTCATCTCTCACTGGAGAGGGTTTGGGCAAAGTGGTTTATTCTGCTCTGACCCAGTAGATCTGTGATGGGACACTGGCCAGGAGGAGGGAACCCAAGCCCATGGCATGGTCAGCTGGGGCCTAGGTCAGGACACAAATCTGGCCAGGTTTGGGGTGGCCAGGGGCCAGTGCCTGGCATCATAGCTGCAGTCTGGGAAGGCTTGTCTCTGACCTCCACATGCCTGCCCTCCTGGTCAGCTGTCTTGGCCCTGCCTGGCTTGCCCTGACTTCATCCCAGGCTTCTGCTCTCCTGGGAGGAGTGGCCATGCTCTAGAGTCCCCATTGGCTGAAGCTTCCCTGCTGCATGCATCCCTGCTTCCTGCTGGCTGCCTTCCCATCTTGACTGCTGGAATTGAGTTCAGGGAGAGTGGAGTCTGTGACACTTATGCGATAGCAATTGGAGGCCCTGATCTTGATGCCTGGGTGTCTAGAAGGTTCTAAGAGCTCCTAACCATGAAAACGGTGTGGGAAGACAGGGCCTACCTGCCTCCTCTCTGTGCTACCACACCCAGAATGCCAAGCCACCTGTATTAACATCCATGCAGAACCCCCAGTGCACAGTCAGGCTGGAGATGCCTTTGGCAGTGGTTTCCATGGTGATGGACCAGGCTGCTTGAGTGTAGCAACCTTCAGGCAGTCTTTGAGAGCCCGAAAGATGGGCAGCTGTCGTCTGTGGACCCCAACCCTGGCCAAGAGTTCCTAGGTCTGCTGCCTTCCTCTCTCCTTGGGGTCTAGCACTGTGCCTTGCCCCCAGGGATGCTTGGAGGAAGCTCCATCTCTGGAGCAGTTCTGGGTTGGACAGGCCTGGTCCATCTCTATCATTCTAGGAGTCATGGGCTTTGGGTGAGTTACCTTGGTAAGCTTTGAATTTGTCAGGTTTAGCTGCAGGACCCTTATGAGAGACTGTGGCCCAAGATCCGGCTATGTCCTCGTCCCACAGCTGAAGAAGGCTCACACCTGTCACTGTTGTGTGAATGTGTGACATTTTGTGCTGCTGTTCCCAAGGCCCAGCGCCTTAGCCTCTTCTTGTCCTAGGAGAGACGCTGGAGGTAGAGGGGAAGGGTGCATCAAGCTTGAGGTCCCACTCTCATTTGTGGGGTGCAGAGCTTTCTCTGTTGGTTCTTCAGCTGGGTCAGGTGACTGACGACGATTACCCAGAACTCCATAGTCAGTAGATCTGAATGCTGAAGAAGCAACACTGAGTGAGGTACTCCTTCTGGGGCCCTCAAGAATGGGAGAGTATCAGAAAGGGGTCTGTGGGCCTGTGGGGATGAAGTTGGAGCCATGCTTGAGACTCTGTATTGGCAGCAATTCCCAGGCTCCACTGACCCAGGCCACCCAGCATAAGAGATGGGTGTCTTCCTTACATCCCTTCTCCTTCCCTTCCCTGCCCCCAATCCCAGGTCTCACTTTTTTATTTTGTCCTTATAACTCTTTAATTGTTTTTTGAGAGAAACTACTCCTTAGCCCTCATATTTCATCATTAGGTAACACAGGTCAGTGATGAGCATCTATGGAGCTCAGTCCAAAGAATTCTTCACCATTCTGAAATCACTTTGCACTTTGATACCAGCCTTCCCTGTCTCTTCAAGTCTCTCATGGAATCGTAATTCCAGTAGAAGTCTGCATATGCTGTCCTTCTTGGTTCAGCAACTTACAGGGAACTGTGATTCCCCGGGGCCACAATGAACGTGTCAATAGCAACCTGCATCTAAGGTTTCAGCACTGCACCGGAAGTCATAGTGAATGTCCACTACACCAGCATCGCTTATGGTTCTCATAGGAACGGAGAGCCCCTTCTCACAGAGTGATCTTCGCCGGGTCTTCTTCTCTCCCCTTCTCACAGAGTGATCTTCACCGGGTCTTCCTATTCCCCCTTCTCACAGAGTGATCTTCACCGGGTCTTCCTCTCTCCCCTTCTCACAGAGTGATCTTCACCGGGTCTTCCTCTCTCCCCTTCTCACAGAGTGATCTTCACCGGGTCTTCCCATCTCCCCTTCTCACAGAGTGATCTTCACCGGGTCTTCCCATCTCCCCTTCTCACAGAGTGATCTTCACCAGGTCTTCCTCTCTCCCCTTCTCACAGAGTGATCTTCCCCGGGTCTTCCTATCCCCCCTTCTCACAGAGTGATCTTCACCTGGTCTTCCTATCTCCCCCTTCTCACGGAGTGATCTTCCCGGGTCTTCCTATCTCCCCCTTCTCACGGAGTGATCTTCCCGGGTCTTCCTCTCTCCCCTTCTCACAGAGTGATCTTCCCCAGGTCTTCCTATCCCCCCTTCTCACAGAGTGATCTTCACCGGGTCTTCCCATCTCCCCTTCTCACAGAGTGATCTTCACCGGGTCTTCCCATCTCCCCTTCTCACAGAGTGATCTTCACCGGGTCTTCCTATCTCCATGCAGCCAGGCCATCTGCTTTTGTTTGGAATGTTTTCTCCATTTGTTTTCCAATTTACTATAAACTTTTTCATTTTTTTAAAGCAGCGTTTCTCTGTGGAGCTCTGCCTGGCGTGGGACTCTATGTAGTTCTGGCTGGCCTTGACCTATAGAGATGTAGATGTCTCAGCCTCCCAAGTACTGGGATTAAGAAGAGCAAAAGCTCAAAACCAATCTGGGCTACACAGAGAGATACTGTTTAGAAAAAAAAAAAATAAAGGAAAACTTTAAAAGCTGCCCACTATCTGTGACAAGGAAGTAGGCACTTTCCTAAGAGGGAGCTGACACAGGTAGCATTCCTCTCAACTCTGAGATCATGGGCTGGAGGATCATGGGTCGTGGTGGCCATTCTTGATTAGGCTGGTGGGAAGTGGTCCAAACTGCTTCTCCTCTGTGCAGAGGTGTCAGGGTTAGCAGAGCAGAGCATTGCAGAAAGAATGCTGACCATGTTGTCCTCCCCTGTCCCCAGGGCTTTGCCTCTATGTTCTCTAGTCGCACATCCCGGAAGTCCATCTCACATCCAGAGCACGGAGACGCCATGGCAGAGGGTGAGGAGTACCGGAACCCCACGGAGGTGCAGATGAGCCAGGTGGTGCTGCCCTGCCACACTAACCACCGTGGGGAACTGAGCATCGGACAGTTGCTCAAATGGATCGACACCACAGCCTGCCTGTCAGGTGACGCTCTGCTCCAGGCTCTCCATCACGTCCCCACCGCTTGCCCTGTAGAACCCCGGTGGGGGCTCAGTTTTTAAAGATGGTCTCTTTCTCTGTCATGGTCACCACACTTGTTCCCTTTCTGGCCTTAGTTCCTGCTCATTCCTTACCTCAAATCCTCTATTCATCTCCTAGTTGTCTGAGCAGCCTGTCCCTCTCCCCTAGTCCCCTAGCCATGGGCGTTGGTACCGTGCAGATGTCCCTGTCTGCCTCTGCTGCAGCCTTAACCAAAGCTATTTCCCAACTGGCTGGTAAAGACCAGGCTCAGAGACTGACTGTGAGTGCAGCTGGTCCTCTCCACATTTGTGTTCTCCAGCCTCCAGGCCTAACTCAGTGACTTGGCTAGACCAGCAGGGTTCCAGAGGCCCCCAGCCAGCCATGGGGTCAGGGAAAGGGCTCCAGAGGGGACAAAGGACTGAGGCTAGGATGCGGAAGTGGGAAAAGAACGGCAGGCACTGCTGGTGGCGAAGTCTCTGGAAGAGGAGTACATGGTCAGAGGCCTGTGTGGCATGGGAGGCTGCTAACATTTAGCTTTCTTCTCCCGAGCCAGCGGAGAGACACGCTGGCTGCCCCTGTGTCACAGCTTCCATGGATGACATCTACTTTGACCACACCATCAGGTAGGTGGCCCTCTGACTTAGCTACCCTCTTGGTCTCCCCACCTCGAGCACAGGGCCTTCCTCTCTACCTCCTCACCTACCAGGCTGTGTGGTTCTAGGAGCTGACTCAACTGACTGGTGGCTTTGGAGGGCGGAACCATGGTGTCTCGGGGGTTAAACATCGTCCTGCAACTGTGTGGGATAGCAGTGGGTTAGGAGTGGCCTGTTGCTTTGTGCCGTTAGGTGAGCTTTCCCGTCAGGGTGGGGCCAGGGTGTTGTCTCAGGTTTGCAGTTGGAAAGACTTCTCTGGCGGGGTATGGAGGCCTAGGCCAGCTGTGGACTATGCAGAGCCAATAGCTCAGGTTTCTGAAGTGTGTCATGTGTTGCTCTGTGACTTTGGGTCGCACAAATTCTCTCTCTGGGCTTTGTTTTCCTTACGTGTGAAATGGAAGGGCTTGAATTTGACCAGGAAATGTCCCTTTGTATCTCAGACATTTCTTCATAGGTCCCTGGTCACTGAACTATAGGGAGACCCCTGACAAGGCACCAGGACCCAGCCTGTGCTAGAAGCATGATCCAGTCAGTCAGTCACCCTTGGACCACACCCATTCCAGCTCTTACTCAGGGGTTCTTTTTCTTTTTCAGTGGCTGTAAAGGTTAGAAAGCTTGCCATTATCCCCCATGCTTTGCCGCTAATCCTCGTCCTGCTGGGACACAAGGAGGCTGCTGAGCCCTTGGCCCAGGACAGGCCTCACACAGAGCTTGCTACTGGCCCGCTCCTACATATGCCAATGCACACAGGATATCAAGCGCTGAGGGCTTATTCAGGGCTGCCAGGCACCCGATGTGTGACTAATAAGGAAGATGTTTGACCAGTCCCCGTACTCAAGTCAGTCACCCATTTACCACATACTCTGTATTAGTTAATGTGCTGGCTGATTTTATGTCAACTTGACCCAAGCTGTCTTTGGGGAGAAGGGCCCTCAAGTGAGAAAAAGCTCTCATCAGATTGGCCCATGGGCAAGCCTGTGGGGCATTTTCTTGATTAGTGATTGATGCGAGAGGGCCCACTGTGTGTAGTGGCACTCTGGGTAGGGTGGCCTTGGTGTGTATAAGAAAGCAGGCTGGGCAAGCCACAGGGAACAAAACAGTAAGTGGCAGTCAGTCCTCCATGGTCCCTGCTTCAGTTTCTGTGCCCAGACTTCTGGCCCCACTGCCTGAGATGATGAGCCGCGATGTGGGAGTGAAGTGAACCCTTTGTTCCCAAGTTGCTTTTCGGTCATGGTGTTTCATCACGGCAATAGAAAACCCCGTTAAGATCGTTAAGAGCCTTTCTGGATTGGTGTCATGCTAGGTTTGGGGACACAGACCACCAGAAAGCACTCCTTACGCCCAGGACTACCCAGTCTGCAGAGGGACAGATGGAGAAATCTGCATTTGTGCTGGGAAGTTGGGCTTGAAGTGGGGCTCAGAGCATGTGTTCAGGGTGCAGGAGCCCTGGGTTCGATCTCCACCTCCACTGTAACAGAAAAGTAGTAAGTCCTGCGGTGACAGTGAGCTCTGATAAGGTGTCGTCGCTTTGTCACACTTTGCTATTTAGCCCTTGGTTCTGGGGCTGCCACCCAGCTTGGATCAGTTTGACAAACAGTTTCAGCTTGACTGAAAGGCTTTATCCCTGAAGGCGGTACTGAGTTCCCATGTGGGGCAGTTCAGGTCCCCTCTTACCAGCATCTTACATTTATACTTTATCAATCTATTGCGTAGGATGCCTTTTTAATTTGTGGATAATGAGGGCTACGGTATGAGGCTTTTGTTGTTAATATCCTCATTTTCCAGAGGAGGAAACTGAAGCACAGAGAAGTGAGGTAACTTGTCCAGGTCACACAGCAGATGGAGGACCCAGGATTCACTATCAGGTGGCAGTCTGGTTCTAGGGTCCTTGCTTTTTATCGGTGCACTTCATGGGTTTTGGGCAGGACATCGGGGCAGGTTGTCAAGGGGACTTCCTGGCGTGGCCTGAGCTGGCTTGAGGACAGTGAGCTTTGGCGTTGGAGGCTGGGACACTGTATCTGGTTCCGCTGTGAATCCTGCTGCTATTCGTGTTCTCATTGGGAAGCACGGACTGGGTTAGGGTGCGTACATGGTAGGTGAGCCTGCTGCAAGGGCCAGAAGGTGGCAATGAGGCCGGCAGAGGGTCACAGAAGGAGGCCACACTGTAGACAGCCTAGAACGTGCTGGATTGGCCTGGCAGCAGCTGACCACAGCCGCAGGTTCCCATTTGTTTGTTTGTTTTGCCATTTAAAATATTTCAAGCCAGGCATGGTGGTGCATACCTATAGTCTTAGCACCTGGGAGGCTGAGACGGGGGCATTGCTGTGAGTGTGATTAAAAGCTGTCTTGGGGCCGGGCATTGGTGGCGCATGCCTTTAATCCCAGCACTCTGGAGGCGGAGGCAGGTGGATCTCTGTGAGTTCAGGACAGCCCGGTCTACAGAATGAGTTCTGGGACAGTCTCCAAAGCAATACAGAGAAACTCTGTCTTGAAAAACCAAACCAAAACAAAAAAATAACCTCCAAATAAATACACTAATTTATTTAAATAAAAATCATGTCAAGGGACTCCCACATCTGTAATACCACTACTCAGGAACTGAGGCAGGAGAATCATGAGTTCAAGGTCATCCTGGGACACATAATGAGACCCTGTCTCAAATGATACAAGACAAAGCAAAATATTTCCAAACATATCTGTAAAGACTAAGAACTGATTTTAAACAACTTCCATGTGATTACCACACCTGAAAAATGGTTAGTTTTCTCCTTACCAGTATTTACCATCAGCAAATGCCCATACTGACTTGTGAGTTTCTTTTGCCATGTGGTTATTTTTTGTTATTTCTGTAAGGCTGCAAATAAGTTTGTAAATAAACTATGTGTGTTTGTGTGCGTGCACGCATGTGTGCGTGTGTCTGTGTGTGTAAGGCATTAGACTTCTGGAACTGAGTTTATAGGTGACTGTAAGCCACTGGACATGGGTGCTGGGAACTGAGTTTATAGGTGACTGTAAGCCACTGGACATGGGTGCTGGGAACTGAACTCAGGTCCCCTACAAGGGCAACCCTGACTGGCACCAATCCCTACACATACTGTGATGTCTCCTATAGGTACACAGCCAAGTTGAAGCTGAGTTCGAAATTAGGTAAAATCAGATTTTGACAAAGAAAGGTTACGCCAGGTCTGGTGGCACAAGCCAGCTACACTGGAGCCTCTGGTAGGAGGCTCATGAATTCAAGTTCAGTGTGAACTACAGAGTGAGTTCAAGGCAAGCCTGGGCATCTTAGTGAGACCCTGCCTCAAAATTAAAATAAAAAGGAAGCTGGGGATCCAGTTTAGTGGTAGAATAATTGCCTGAGGCCTTAGATTCGATCTCCAGTATTGAGGTGGAGGGTAAGAGAGAGGCTTATAATGAAAATGATCAATAATAGCAATATGCTTTCATAAACACTGGAACTTTGAAGTTATTTATCTCTTTTTAAACTTCTAAACTAATTTTATGTGTATGAGTGTTCGCCTGCATGTGTGTCTGTGCACCACTGTGTGCAGTGCTCACAGAGGCCAGAAGAGGGCATCAGGTCCCCTGGAACTGGAGTTACCAACAGTTGTGAGCAGCCATGTAGGCCCTGGACTTGAACCCTGGAAGAGCAGCCAGTGCTTTTAACCACTGAGCCATTACTTGAGTTCTCTCTCTTTTTTTTTTTTTTTTTTTTTTTTGGTTTTTCGAGACCAGGTTTCTCTGTGGCTTTTGGAGGCTGTCCTGGAACTCGCTTGGTAGTCCAGGCTGGTCTCGAACTCACAGAGATCCTCCTGCCACTGCCTCCCGAGTGCTGGGATTAAAGGCATGCGCCACCAACGCCCGGCTTGAGTTCTCTTTTTTACTTTTACCTTTTGTTGTTGTTGTTGCTTTGGGAGGGTTTCTCTGTGTATCCTTGGCTGTCCTGGAACTTGCTTTGTAGACCAGATGTCCCCCTGCCTCTGCCTCCCAAGTACTGGGGTCAAAGATGTGCGCCGCCACCACCCGGCTCTTTTCTAACTTTCTATTGTGAAAACTTACAAATACATGGAAACTAGGACATGTCAGTGTTGCTAGGACCCGATAGTTGCTCCTTTGCTGCCTTGCTTTATCTACGCATGGATAAATGCATGTAAAAATGCATCTTGCAGATGACATTTTCCTTCCTGGGAGTCAGTATTGCTGAAAACATCAGCAGCGATGACACGACCAGCACTGTGAGCAGAACTCCCTCACCGAGCCCCTGAACTGACTAGCCGGGTGCTGGGTTGAGTCGCTCCATCGCTCACGGAGCCTTAGGGGTACAGGCAGTCGCCATGCATTCCCAATGCTTTACATACGAGGAGACAGACTCAGAGAAGTGAGGTGACTTGTCCCAGGTCACCAACTGGTGGTGTGATGGTGTGACAACTGAAGTAGAGCATGACAAACCCAGCCTTGTGCGGCCACACTATGGCCTTGTGACTGGCATGCCCCTTAGAACTGACACTTCCAGGCTTCAGTCAGGGGCAGTGCACTCTGTGTGTTCATGAGCCAAGGCGCAGAGAGGTAAAAGGACTTCTTGAGGTCACAGTGAAAGAACTGGGCCAGCTTTCCAGCCTTTTGCCTTCCTCATCCCCATAGCCCATCAGCTGAGCAGGCACAGGGCAAGCTAGGTGGCTCCCTGGAGATTTATGTGGACACGTGAAACACCCAGAAGGACAGGCTGACTACAACTGGGAAGAAGTGGGCTGGTCCAGTCAACAGCCCATCTACAATCCTGGCCCTGATGCGCGTTAGTTGGGTAACCTTGTTAGTTGGCTGACCTTGGACAAGTGACTTAGCTCTGTGATGTTCAGCCCCTCTAAAGCCATCTCCAAGCTGGAGATTCAAATGTGGAAACGCACACATAGCACCTTGAAGTGCCCCATTTCCCTGCTCACTCCTCTCTCCAGCCACTGGTACTTGGCAAGCCTTTGGTAAGTGTGGATGTATTGGCTCAGTCGGTCACTGTTTAGGTCTTGCCCTGCACATGGGCTTGGTGTGTTGGTGAGCAAAACATATGCTCCCTGGGCTGGGCTGTGACTCCCAGTTAAGCATGCGACTGTCCTGCACAGGCCCTGGCTTTTCTGAACCACAGACATGAAGCAGAAGAGGAGAGAACTAAAGCCAGGGGTTTTGGCCCAGTGTGGTTTAAGAGCTGGGGAGGTAGAGGTCACACTCCGCGAGTGTTGGGCACTGTGGGATAGGAGTGCTGTCCCAGGGAAGGAACTGTATGCAAAATGAGGCCATGTAGCTCCTGGACAGTGGGGCAGGAGCCTAGAATCAGGCGCTTCTGGAAGCCTGGTGTCTCCGCCTGTGGAATGAGTGCTCATGGTGGCCGCTGGCTTGGTGACACTGCGGATGTGACTGTGTTCAGGGAGTCTCAGTGCTCTTGTCAGTTGTCCCCCCAACTCTGAGGTGAGGAGTGTGTGGGGGCCCCTGTCCTCTCCCTTGTTCCCTCTGGAAGGCTCACCTCCTGATTTCTTCTTCTCAGTGTCGGTCAAGTGGTGAATATCAAGGCCAAGGTGAACCGGGCCTTCAACTCCAGTATGGAGGTGTGTGTGGCTGACCCTGCTGGGGGTGGCATGGCCTTCCTGTCCCACTCTGTCTTTTAAGATCCACACTGTAGGTCCCTGGCTAGAGTTCCAAGATGGCTGTTTCGGGGGGAGGACCCTAAGGCTTCCTTGCTAATATTCCATAGCGCAGGAGGGAACGTGGAAGCCAGAAAGGGAAGAGGGCTTGCTCAGGCCTTCCACTCCTGGCTGGGCACATTCAGTAGCAGGCCATGAAGGTCGAGGAAGGCAGTACTGTGTCTGGTCATGGGGCTGCAATGTGACAGACTGGGCTTTTCATCTCTTAGCTCACCTCAGTGGCCTCTTTTCCCACGTCTGAGGAAACAGACTTAGAGAAGGGGATCGTCCAAGGTGTTCCGGGGAACCAAGGGGAAGTCAGAAGCAGCTCAGCCTGGGTGGCTCTTTAGCGTCACCGACCTGCAGGCCTTGAGTAGTCAGCTTGCTTCCCTCCCTCCCCGTGCCCCTCTCCCTCTCTAGGTGGGCATCCAGGTGGTCTCCGAGGACCTGTGTTCTGAGAAGCAGTGGAGTGTGTGCAAGGCCTTGGCCACCTTTGTGGCCCACCGGGAGCTCTCCAAGGTAGACGGCTGTCCCAGCTGCTGTGTCATACCCACCATACCCCCAGGGGTACCGACCCTCTGGGATTCCACCCAGGTCCCCCTCCTCCTTTCCCTGCCTCTCCCTGCACATTTAAACAGGAGGAATCTTCAGAACACTGCCCTAAACAGATTCCTCCATTTTTTTTGCCCAAGAAGGGATCTCGGGGGACATAGAGAGATCTATGCCCTGTCGGGCTACAATGGAGACAGGAAGGTGGGCACAGAGGGGAGAGATCTTTGGAGCACTCCCCCCATCACCCTAGCAGCCCAGATCCACTAGGTACCAATCTCAGGCACCAGGCTGCTGTGCTATCTTAGGAAACTGGTCCTCCTCTCTCTTGACCAACAGGTGAAGCTGAAGCAGGTCATACCATTGACAGAGGAGGAGAAGACGGAGCACGGGGTGGCCGCTGAGCGCCGGCGTATGCGGCTAGTCTATGCAGACACCATCAAGGACCTCCTGACCCACTGTGCCATCCAGGAAGGTGAGTGTGGGTGTGTGCATAAGAGGGACGCTGGGTGTACACAGGAGGGCAGCTGGTGTCCTCGAACCCCCTTTGGAAGGAGGAAGGGATCCCCTATGGACCTCTGTCCCTGGTGACCTCAGGCTTCTCTGGCCTCCTTGGCCTCAAGATCCCTTCCAGGGAAAGCAGATGCTGGGGCCACTCACTCAGTCCAGAAGCAGTGGTGATGGAGTGGGGACCTACTGAAATCCCTGTCACCCACAATGCATTTGGGCTTCTAGGAGATGAGTGGGATGATAGTGTGGGAAGGTAGTGTTGGGCTAGGCTTTGAAAACTTAGAGGAATTTTCAAAAGCATCTGTGTACAAGTGTGTACATATGTTTTCTTTTTCCTTCCAAGAAAAACAAAAAGATGAAAAGCAAGACTCCCTCCATCCCAGAGCCCAGATCATCTCTCCCGAGGCAAAGACTGTGACCTGGTTTTGAATATCTTTCTAGGGGTGCTCTCTGTAGATTTAAGTAATGTGTGCATTATTTAGTTCCCTGTTTTTACCCTGAAGGGAACACATAGGACACGCTGCTCTGTATCTTGATCTTGATCTTGATTTTTTTCCTCTATAAAAATCTCTCTTGATGGTTGTTCTCTGTTGGTACAGGATGATCTGCCTTGGACTGGGTGGGATTTTGGCAGGTGGAGAGGTTAGGAAGGTGTTCTACAGAGGATGAAGGGCCTGGGAGGCAGGAACAGGAACCCTGGATTTCGTTACCATAACATCTCCGTGTTCTTATGTGAGGTCTTCCTTCATACTGAAATTGGAGGATCCAATTTTCAGACAAATAAAAAGTAATTCAGCTGAGCCAAGTGACACACACCAGTAATCTTAGCATTCTGGAGACGGAGGATCATGGTTAGAGGCCAGCCTTGATTGCATATGAAGTGTATAATCACCTATGGATACATAGTGAGATCCTGTTTCAAAAGAAGCGAGCAAAAACTGAGTGTTGGCTGGGCATAGTGCTTCATGCTGGCAGTTCCAACAGTGACGTGACACGGAAGCCTGAGGCAGGAGGAGCCTGGCTATACAGCAGGTTTGTGGCCAGCGTGCACTGCATGAAACCCCGCCTCACCCCCTACGCCCCCCTCCTCTCAAAATACCTGCAAGAACACCTGTCGTGGTGGCTTGTTTCCGTAAGTCTAGCACTTGGAGGGCTGAGGCAGGAGCAGGCTGTGAGTTTGTTCTGAGCCCATATAATGAGCAGGCAAGTCTGGGCTACAGACAAAGATTCTCTCTCAAAAACCCCAAGAGAGGATTGGTGAGATGGCTCAGCACATAAAGGAACTTGTTCAATACCCAGAACCTACTTAAGGGTAGAAGGAGAGAACAGACTCCATAAAATTGTCCTTTGATTTTCAAATGCATCCTGTAGCAGAAAGCAACCACCACCACATCATCCTAATCGTCCTCCACACTCATAGTAATGATAACAGTGATGATAATAATAAAAATTAATAAAACAAAACCAAAAAAGAGCCAGGCACGGTGTCAGTCCCTGTAGTCTCAGCACTGGGAGACAGAGGCAGGAGGATCACCACAAGTTTAAGGCCAGATGTTCTACTTATTGAGTTTCAGCCCAGCCAGAGCTCTAAGGAGAGACCTTGTATCAAAACAAACAGAAGACACAGAGATTCTGGAAGAGCCCTTGACTAGCATGCACATGGCCCTGAGTTCAATTCCCAGCACTGAAAACAGCAACAAAACTCACAAGCCAGGTGACTGTTCTTTGCCAAAACGGGGAGAGCAGAGGGAGCTCACTGCGTGCTGAGCTCTGAGGTCCTTGAACCCTGTTGTGCTGGGCTTAGGGGATGCTGGAGGAAGCCCAGCTCTTCCAGTTGGTTTGGTTCTGTGGCTCTGTCCACGCCGTCACAACCCTCCCACAGCCCTGCTTTCCTGACAGCATGCCTCCAAGGGTCAGTCTAGATACTTCTGCCTGGCACCCGAGCCTCAGACTAATGGTTCGGCCCCAGGGCCTGTGTCCTCCCATAAGCTTAGCCAAAGGCCTTGGCACCTGCCAGTACCTTCTCCAGACTTGGGCTTAGGTCATTTTCAGCTTCTGCTTTCCTGTGACATTTCACCGGGCCTTTCACCCCAGGGAAAGTCATTTCTGCTGGGTGCTCTGCAGAGGACTCTCTTAGGATTCTGGGGACGCAGGACAGCGCTTTGCTTTAGTTGGGCGTGTTGGCATCAGCTCTCTGGACCCCTGAGGTCCTGTTTGCTCATTGACCTCTCCCACCCTGGGTATCCTAATGCCACTCCTGCAAGGAACAGGGACTGGTCAGGGAGTAGGCAGCAAGGATCGTCCTGAAAGTACAGCCACTGACTGAGCTGAGCACATTACCACCACAACCATGCCTCACCGACACACACAATCCTGCCTGGCTTGGGCTGACACTTGGCTCCTTCCAGATGGGCGTCTGAGACCCAGTGGTTTGCTTGTTGCTTCCAAGGCCATACAGCCTGTGTTCGCTGTGGCAGGGTTGGCTCAGGTGTGCCTCGTCTCACAGCTGAGCTCTGTCTGCTTCCCTGTGGCAGGCTTACACCCCTTCTTCCGTGTCCTTCCATTCTCTACCCAGGGCCGGTCTAGCCTTGTGATCCATTGGTGGTATTACATTAATGCTCCAGGGTGGGGGTCAGTGTCCTGGGGCTTCCAGGGACAGTCTGTCCTTGGGGATCTTCTCACCTCCTCGCCCTCCTCCGTGACCAGATCTGGACAAGGACAGCAGCAATATGGTGCCAGCAGAGAAGACCCGAGTGGAGAGCGTGGAACTGGTGTTGCCTCCTCATGCCAATCACCAGGGCAATACCTTTGGGGGCCAGATCATGGCCTGGATGGAGAATGTGGCCACCATTGCAGCCAGGTGAGACAGCCTCTATTTGCGCCTTCTCTGCTTCTTCCAGAGCTTGTTTCCTTGGCAAGAGAAACCCTTACTATGCCATAACTCAAGGCTCTATAAGCGTGGGTGTTCTGTGAAGATAACCCTGGATTTCCATGCCTATCAGACCAGCGAGGAGCCATTTCTGTGAGCCAGCCAAGCCTTCTTCTACCCCCCCATGGACTCCCCTGGGAGTCTCCCCACCAGACTGACCCTGAAGCCCCACCCCCAGGTCTGGCTTTGCCCGCTCTCCAGCTAGTAACTGCTCCTTCAGGTTCTGTTCTTGCCCTCCACATTTCCCAGCCCCTCATTTTGCTCCCCGTGTGACCTCCCACCATTCAGCACACTGCCCAGCCCCACCATAATGCCACTGTGGACCGGTCCCTCTTTCTAATGGTGAAAATAAGTTCTACTTCCTCCGATAGCCCCTGTGCTGGACCGGAGTCCATGGAACTCCAGTTGTAATGGACTGAAAAAAAATAGTTGTGACAACCGGTGGTCATTAATTGACACTTCTGTGCCTCCATGACTTAGTCTTTGCTGTCCTCTCAGCCCCCCCCCACTCCCAAGCCACCTTCCTCCATTAGGCTAGGTTTCATTCTGAGGGCCCAGCTCAGGCCAACTCTGAGGTTAAGCTGGAGATAGTGTGTGTCTAAGCAATAACATCTGAGAAGCCTGGTCTGTGAGTGTGAGACTTGAGGAGTCCAGGATAGAGAAAGCTTCCTGGTGGAGGAGTACCTCACCGGGACCTCCAGTGACAGGAAACTCTTCAGGAGGGGTAGGCTTCAAGGTGTCAGGGGACACAGACACTGAAGCAAAAATGCCAAGGGAAGGCGGACAGGGGTCATACTCTAGGCTTGCTTTCTTCTGGCCTCAAATTCAGTTCCTTTCAGCCATGAACTGTGGCTTCAGCGTGCTAAGCTGGAAACAGCTTTAGTGTGATGCATGGAGCAGAATTGTTCCTGAGCTGGGCCAGAGGACCATTCCTGTGGTCCAGAATGGGGTAGGGGCTAGGGGCTGGAGAAGGCACCCTGATGCAGTACCGACCATTTCTTCTGTCTCCTTATCTTCCTCCTAGCCGGCTCTGTCATGCCCACCCTACACTCAAGGCCATCGAGATGTTCCATTTCAGAGGCCCATCACAGGTGGGGGACCGTCTGGTGCTCAAGGCCATAGTGAATAACGCCTTCAAGCATAGGTGAGGAGTCAGGATGACTGTGACTGGGCCACCAAGGGTCATGGCTTCTTCCTGACCCTAGAAACTACCTAATGCAGACCTGCCAAGCCTTCCCCCAGCAAACGAGGTCTGAATTGCAGAGTTGTTCACATGGCCCATGTTTGCCTAGTTTTCCCTTTTCTGGAATGTTCTGTGACTCCCACTGTTGTCGAGTGGTGGGCCTGGGGTTTTTCTCTAGGTTTTCCAGAGGTGCTGTGTCTCCCACCAAGTGGGAAGCTGTATGTCCCATCTCTCTTCTGCTTGGCTGGAGGACTGAGTTCTGGGGGTGCACGGGTCACAGGGCCTCTTCCTGCTCATGTTTCTCAGATCCTTTCCTGCCTATGTTCTGAAACGGGTATTCTAACATCTCACCTTGGGATGAGTCCTGATGTCTGTTCTCACCACAAGTGTCTTTAAGTAAAGACTGTTTCTGAGAATGTGTGCTCGTTAAGGGTGAGCACTATGGAGCCGGGTAGCCTAGGTGCAAGTTTGGCTCCACTTCTCACAGGCTGTGTGGCTTTGAGTAAGTTATTTATCATCTCTTTCTCTGTATCCCTGGGGCTGGGATTATAAGGTTGGCCTTCAACTCATGTCAGTCTCCTGCCTCAGCATCCCTAGTGTTGAGATCACTAGCACATGCCAGCATGCCTAGCTTCCTTTGTAATTTCTTAACTTTTAAGAAATTATGTTTATTTACTTATAGTGGTGTGTGTGTGTGTGTGTGTGTGTGTGTGTGTGTGTGAGAGAGAGAGAGAGAGAGAGAGAGAGAGAGAGAGATAGAGATGCCTGAACACGCCCACATGGAAGGCAGAGGACAGTTTGTGGGAATCAGTTTTCTATTTTTTAACTATAATGCATCCCTGGGATCTAACTGGGGCTGTCAGACTTGGCAGCAAATGCCTTTCCTGCTGAGCCGTCTCACCTGCTCTCTGATGACTTCTGGGTGTCGTTGCTTCCTTGCTTTGTTGACTTCCTGGGTTGTTAGTCCAGTTTCTGGAAGAGCTGCAAGAGAGCGTGTAGATACTCTAGGTGCACCTGCTTGCCTGTGTGTGGACTTGCGTGTTAGTGTGTGATGTAGAAGGGCATGGCCTGGGGAAGGTCCGTTGAACTTGACTCCATCGTTCACTTGACCTTAGCATGGAGGTGGGCGTCTGTGTGGAAGCTTATCGCCAGGAGGCCGAGACCCAGCGACGGCACATCAACAGCGCTTTCATGACCTTTGTGGTCCTGGACAAAGATGACCAGCCTCAGAAGCTCCCCTGGATTCGTCCCCAGCCTGGGGTAAATGCCCTACCCCTAGTTTCCCTTACTTGTCACCCTGTGGCAGTCCCATCCCTGGCTCTTCACTGAGGCACAACCAGATCTGATAGTCCTGGTCGTGACTCGGGGATTCCCCCATGAAGCTGGGCACCTGCCAGCACTGAAACATACCATGGGATCTGGCTGATGTTGGGGGATCATGGACCTGAGCAGCCCACAGGTTGCAGAGACCCCTGGCTTGGGAGCCCTAGGCTGGTAGGGTCTGACCCCTGCCACATTCTTGGAGATGTATTTCTGTGAGTTTCAGTCCTTGTCTGTGTGATTAGTGTGTCTGCAACTTCTGCTTGACAAGATGTGGTTGTGGGGAACCAACTACCTTCAAAACCTTGAAACCTTTGAAAGGTTGTCATGGTCAGCATTATGGGGACAGGGGCAGGGGCACACAGATGACTGGGTTCTCTGTGAAGACACATTCTTGGCTTGCTGGGGCCAGTTGCTGTCTTTGTGTTTTTGGGTGGAGGTGGGCTTTAAGCTGGCCTTCTGAATTCTGATCCCAATTTTACTCCATACTCCTATGACCTTGGGAACCATTCAACCTGCTGGGCCTCAGTTTCCTCCTGTGTAAACTGGGATCTCAGGTTCTAGGCTCAGGAATGTTGAACAGAAAGCAGGTGTGGTCTCAAGCAGAGCCCTTGTGAGGACCTCATCTCCAGCGAGTGCCCACTGAATGTGACTCTAGGTACCACTGCGAGGTTCTTTTACCATCTCATTCTACATTGGGGAAAATGATGCCTAGAAGTGCCCACTGAATGTGACTCTAGGTACCACTGCAAGGTTCTTTTACCATCTCATTCTACATTGGGGAAAATGATGCCTAGAAGGGGGCCGGGTCCCCAAGGTCACCAAAGACTCCACGGGGAGCTAAGCTACAGCTTGCGGCCCTGGCACTTTCCCAGTAATGATGTTTTGACTTCTGCTTCTCTGGAAAGACCAGGCTTCTCGATGGGACTGCAAGGTCCTCTGGCCCCAGAGGACAGGGATGGCAGAGCTATGGTCTAGCTGGTCATCCCAGATGTACCACAACCTGTCCCTGCTTCCTTCCTAGGAGGGTGAACGGCGATACCGAGAGGCCAGTGCCAGGAAGAAAATCCGCCTGGACAGGCGAGTGGGGAGGGCAGTGGGAGGGGCATGCTTCAGGCTGGGCTCCACCCACTGGCTCCAGGACATTCAAGCTCCTGGGTTGTCCTCCCCATCCCCTTTATTTTTATTTTATTTTGACATAGGACCTCACAATGTAGCCCTATAGCATAGGCTAGGGTGGAACTTACTAAGTAGTTCAGGTTGGTCTTGAACTCTTGGGAGGCTTCTGCCTTTGTCTTCTGAGCTGGCCCTTAGCATTGCATATTCTTTTGCTTTTCAGTGTTGTCACACAAAGCATCTTACTGCTCTTTTATACACCAGGACACTGAGGATAGAGGGTTAAGTCTCTTGTCGTTAAGACACACAGTTGAGTGAGATTTACTGTTGGTCCTGCTTGGTCTGGGTGATTTTAAATCTTGTTTTTATCCCATTGACTCTGAGGCCTGTTTGGCCTGTTTGATGAAAGGGTCAAATCTCAGCACTTGGCAGGGATGATGAGGTAGAGGGTTGCTAGAATGCCAACCTGGACTACATAGAGAGGTCTGTCTCAACCGAAACAAATCAACTAAAGCGAAACCCAGAAACCCAGAAAGGTTTAGAATACAGACCCAGTGGCTCAAGACGTGTAACTTGGCATGCCTGAGTCCTCTGTAAAGTACATTATAAAACTGTGGAGTGGTGTTGGAGAGATGGCTCAGCGGCTAAAAGCACTGACAGCTCTTCCGGAGGACCTGGGTTCAATTCCCAGCACCCACATGGCAGCTCACAACTGCCTGTGACTCCTGTTCCATGGAGATCTGATGCCCTCATACAGACATACATGCAGGCAAAACACAGATGCATATGAAATAAAATAGGTAAATCATAAAAAGTGTAAACAACAAGACAACTGTAGAGTGTTGTAGCTGCATCCAGGCTCACACTCTGAATTAATAAGGAAAGCCTACATTTCCAGGACATTTATCATATCCTAAGCACGTTGCTCCTTGCAGAGTCCCTCAGGTGACATGGATTCCATTCTAAAGAGCACACTGAGGCATGGGTGAAGGGGAGCCTGAGCCTTGTCCTCTTTTCCTTGCCAGCCCCTGTGAATGCCTAGGGTGCTCACGTGTGTTCTCAGGGGCCGTTTTCTGGGTGTCAGTGTGCCCAGTCGCCCTGCCAGGCAGTCTTCATCCCCACTGGGCTCAGCACTGGTCTGGCGAGCAGTGGACAATGACATCTGCTAAGACAGTGGACTCTGAGAGACCCAGGGTGTCCTCTTCTCTCTCAGGAAGTACCTCGTGTCCTGTAGGCAGGCAGAAATGGCCCTGTCTGTCCCCTGGGACCCCAGCAATCAGGTAAAGCCCTTTGTTTCAAAGCCCATGGGGCCCTTTCCCTTTGGCCAGAGTGGTTTTGGAGGGAAATTCACAGGCCCAGAACCATGGGAAACCCTTGGTTAGGTTTCATGGTTGCTGTTCACAGATGCTGTGCATGTCCTCTGTTTTGCAAGAGGGAGTAGCGGCCCTGGTTGTGGCTGCTCAGGGTTGTGTGGAGGGCTTGTGGGAGCCAGCCTGGACCCCTTTCCCAAAGTCCAGTTCCTTTCCCCGTATCAGCATAATCCCACCAGGGACCTGTGGGGCAGGCGAAGGTAGCCTTTGTTGGTGGGTTTTTCCCAGGTATACCTGAGCTATTACAACGTATCCTCTCTGAAGACGCTTATGGCCAAGGACAACTGGGTGCTGTCGGTGGAGATCGATGAGGTAACTGACCCACCTGTCCCTCTCTGTCCCTTACAAGTGGCCAAGCTTGACTGGTAGGTAGCAAGCATCACAGTGGGTATCTTCAAAGCAATTCAGCGAGGTCACGAAACCACCCAGTTTCAGAAACGTGACTGTCTCCAAGGGCCCTGAGTGAAGCCCCTGATCCTTTGGTACTGCCTGCCGCCTTTTACCCACCCTCGAGCCCATGGTTTTGCCCAGCCCTTTCCTCCCCACTCTGCCCTGGAGGGATGGGGCAGTGGGCAGCGTGAGCCTCTCTTGCCTGTCCCTTGACAAGTCACATCCCGGCCTGTAACAGGGAATTGGATAAAGCTGGGATCTGGAGACCCGTTGCCTTGTTACTGCTTTTTCTTTAAAAAAATCATGTATAGATGTTTAACCTGCATGTGTGTCTGTGTGCCACATGTATGCCTAGGAGAAGCCAGAAGAGGGTGTCAGAACCCCTGGGACTAGATTCCAGTGGGTTTATAAGCTGCCACATGGTACTGGGAACTGAACCCAGGTCCTCTGGAAGAGAAGCCAGTGCTCTTAACCTCTGAGCCGTCTCTCCAGCCATGATTACTGCTTCTTAAAGAGGCGTTTTCTGTCTGTCCACACTGAGCTGTGTCAGAGGTCCATTTTCACGGGGTTGTGACTAAGTCTCAGAGACATTCAAGCATGTCTTCAGTCAGACTGTGTCAGTGACAGCCCTGGCTTTGGGAGCCATCCTCCACCAGCAGCGCGGTCTGGGGGTGTGGAGCGAGAATGAGGCTACCCGGTTACCCCCTGTGCTTTGCAGGTCCGCCTGTACACCCTGGAGGAGGAGTTCCTGTCCTTTCACTTGGAGATGGTGGTGCACGTGGATGCTGCCCAGGTCTTTACACTGCTCTCCGACCTGCTCCGGAGGCCAGAGTGGGACAAGCATTATCGGTGAGGGGCCATTGCTAGGTGAAAGGTGGGAGGATTGCCTGCTGATGCTAAGCATCTCCCATGATGCTTTGTTCCACTGGCCTTCTGTACGGGCGAATCTGGCCATAGGGTATAGTTATGTGTTAAGTGGCAGTCACAGTCATGGGCATGTTGAGGCCCTAGGGAAGGGACTGAGCCTAGAATTGAATGTGAAAGCCTGCGTTTAAGTCCCGTATCTGTTCTAAATGGCAATGCACCATTGGTCAGGTCATTTCTTTCTGTGCCTCAATATCCCCTTTTCTTAAAAAGTTTTATTCATTCATTTTATGAGGATGGGTATTTTTCTGTGTAGCCCTGACTTTACTGTCCTGGAACTCACTCTATTAGACCAGGTTGGCCTCAAACTCAGAGATTCATCTGCCTGAGTCCCCCAAGTGCTGGGATTAAAGGCATGCTCTGCCACCACCTGGCAGATATGAATATTTTGCCTGAGTATTTGTCTGTGCACCATACATGTGACTGGTGCCCATGGAGGCCAGAAGAAAGCATGGATTCTCTGGGACTGGAGTTGCAGATGGCAGGGAGTTGCAATGTGGGTGCTAGAACTCAAACCCACGTTCTCTGGAAGAGCAGCCAACGCCTTTAACCACTGAACTATCTCCCCAGCCCCTACATTCTTAAAAATGGTGTGTGTGTGTGTGTGTGTGTGTGTGTGTGTGTGTGTGTGTGTGTAGGGGTCAGAGGACAACTTGTGGGTCTCGGGGATTGAACTCAGGTCAGCAGGCTTGCTGGCAAAGTGCCTTACCCGCGAGCCTACCTGTGGGGTTGGGAAAGTTAATGTTTAAAGTGGCGTTAGTTCAAGATCCTTGAAGTCAGCTTTTGCCCTGCCGATGCTGTGGCTCACCTGGAGCCTGCACTGCACATGCTTTCCTGGGAGGCTGATAGACTCATGAACGCAGTGAGCAGCTCATCACCAGCTGACTTTCACAAAATGGCCTGCTCCTTCCTTCCTTCCCAGTCTGCCCTCAGCAGAGCACTTGTAGCTGCTCACGCCTCGGCTTCCCGCCTAACCCCCCTCCCCCCACATCATGGTTGTGCTGGGCTGGGAAGATGGCTAGGTGGATAAAGCGCTTGTCCACAAGCGTGAGAACTTGTATTTGAACCCCAGGAGCCGTGTAAAGCTGGGCATGACTTTCATGTTTGCAATCCCAGTGCTCCTTCTTCCAGATGGGAGGCAGAGACTCCTTGGAACTTCTAGGACCACTTAGCTGAGCACACAGGTGAATAGCACACAGCTATTCACACAGGTGAATAGCAATGACCAATACTTGAGGTTGTTGATGTCCACAATGCACCATTAAGTGAATACCTGTACTCACAAACACTTGCACTCATGTGCATGCATGTGTGAGCATGCTCATACATGCACACACACATGCATACAGAGCAGGAGATTGAACAAGTGAGTGAGGGATCGAGAGGAAGAAGGAAAGGTAAGGGAGAGGGAGAGAATGAACTGCATCGCTTTCGGATGCTGTGCCTGGGTATTCTGGGCCTGCCGGTGGTGTGCTCTCGAAAGCTGAGAGGTGGCTGGTGATGGCTGGTGGTTAGGGAGAGGAACTGGAAAAGGTGGGCTGGTGTGGACCAGATCAGGCTTCACTGAGGGGATGAATGACCTAAGGGTAAAGAACCCCCAGCACTCTGGCACACTTCTCTAGCCTGGCACAGCCAGCCTGCTCCCAAGTCAGCGTTCAGCAGAGGGGAGGAGAGGAAGGCGTGGAAATGATCCTGTGTCCTCATGCGGTGTCCTTGTGTGTCTGTAGGCACAAAATCAGTCAATGGTTGTATACCTGGACATGATTATGTGTGTGTGCCTGAGCTTGTCTCTGCTACCAGCCCTGTTTTCTCATGAGCTCTGTGACCCAGGGTGGGTTATTATCCAGCCTCAGTCTCTCTATTTAGTGGGGACACTGAGACTGCCCACAGCATAGCCGTGCTGTGGAGGGAGACTGTGTGAGATCACAGGAGTACAGCTACCAAATCCTGTAAGAGCTACTTGGAGTGTGTGCGCCTACAGACAGATCTGTATGTTCAGTGGTGCCTGCCTGTGTGCCTGTGCATGTGTGCCCATATGCTTACATGCAGCTTTGGTGTTCCTGTGTCTGTATGTCTTAGTTTCTTTTCCCATTGCTATGATAAAATGCCCCGATGAAAACAACTGAAGGGAGAGTGGGTTTTTCTGCCGCAGCAGACACTTGAAGCAGTTGCTCATACTGCATCCACAGTAACAAAACAGAGCGGGGCAAATGCGTGCTGGCGTTCCGCTCACTTTCTCCATTTTATGCAGTCAGGGATCCCTGCCCAGGGAATGGCACTGCCCACTGTTGAGATGGGTCTTCCCATATCAGTTAGTATAATCAAGGTATCTTCTACAGGCATGCCTAGAATTCCATCTCCCAGGTGATTCTAGATTCTGTCAAGTTGACAATTAACACTATCAGTCTGTATATGTGTATTTGCTTGAGTCACGTCTGTGTGCCTATGTGTTTGCATGTGTCTACACATACCTGTGTATGTCTCTGGATATGCGTACATGTGCATGTACCTGTGTATCTGCTCTGGTGTGCATGACTTTGTGTGTGTTGTGTGCATGTGTGTGCACGCAAACATGCATGGGCACTTGCATACACACACTCCTGGAGGGCCTTTGGCCTTCCTCTGGTTCTGTTGAGCTGTGCAGAGGCCTGGCTGAGTGGAGAGCTGCTGTGGCTCCCAGGTTCTGACTCCAGCCTCCCAACAGGAGTGTGGAGCTGGTACAGCAGGTAGATGAAGATGATGCCATCTACCACGTCATCAGCCCTGCCTTGAGTGGTAATAGCAAGCCCAAAGATTTTGTGATCCTGGCCTCTAGACGGAAGCCTTGTGACAATGGGTGAGTACCTGCTTTCTGAGGGGTGCAGTAGGGATGGAGAGGCCCCCATCTCCCTCTTCAGGAGGAGCAGCAACTTGGAGTCAGAGCTCTGCTGCCCACTGGTGGATGGACTCAGAACCCACCAGTCGTTTGGAGGCTGCTGGTGGGGGTTCACCATTAAAGCAAGGGCATACACCGCTCCTGAAAACAAGGCCGTTCATGGTGCTTGTGGCCAAGGCTGCTGCACTTAAGGCCTACACTATGGATGTGGTACCTCTGTCCCCTGGAAGCTTGTGACTGGTACCTGCAGCATGGGTGCAGCCAGCATAGACTGCATCTTTTTTTTTTTTTTTTTTTGGTTTTACGAGACAGGGTTTCTCTGTATTGTTTTGGAGGCTGTCAGTCCAGCCCGGCCTGGAACTCACAGAGATCTGCCTGCCTCTGCCTCCTGAGTGCTGGGATTAAAGGCGCGTGCCACCACCGCCCGGCTTAGACTGCATCTTTTTCTGGAGACAAGGACCAGAATAGAAATCCCAAGGCACGATCTCTGTGAGACCAGCCTGGACTACCAAGCGAGTTTCAGGACAGCCTCCAAAGCCACAGAGAAACCCTGTCTCAAAAAACCAAAAAAAAAAAAAAAAAAAAAAAAAAAAGGAAATCCCAAGGCACACAGATCCAAGGGGACACATGAGGCCTGTGCCTGGAGAGGCTAACACAGATCCCCCCTATCTACAGCTGGCCCTGAACAAGACACCAGGCTCTGAGGGAGTAAATGCATGCTGGGAACAGGACAGGGACAGACACTTCCTATGGGTGATCTCTGACTTCTTCTCACTCTGACTCCCCTCCAGGGACCCCTATGTCATTGCACTGAGGTCAGTCACACTGCCCACGCACCCTGAGACACCAGAATATCAACGCGGGGAGACTCTCTGCTCAGGCTTCTGTCTGTGGCGTGAGGGGGACCAGCTGACTAAGGTGAGGCCTGGTGTCCCTTCTACCCTCCCACCTATGGGTGAATTGAACCCTATGCTCTGGGCTGGAACCCTTCCAGACCTGGGCCCCTGTACCCCCAGCTTTCCCAGCCTGGAGAAGTCAGCATCAGAGACCATAAAGAGGTCTTCGTTGAGATTTAGTCGTGTCGACAGTGAGCGGTCACTGCTGGGGCTTAGAAATAGCTCTGGACATGGACTACAGAAAGCCCAACGCAGATCTGAAACTCTGCCTCATTATGTATTTACTGTGTCCCCCTTCTTGTCTGGGAGGGCTTTTACATGGCTCTGAGGGCCTATAAGGCTCAGCAGGGTAGTGAGTGTTAATTGAAAAGGTAGGGAGGAGGTGGGAACGCTGTTCCCCGCCCCCACTTGCAGTTTCCTTCACAGCCCTGGACTATAAGCCTTGCCCAGGTGCTGACTCGGCCAGAGCTGCTAAGGACCTATGTAAAGCTAGTCCAAGGCTTATGTCTACCATGTTTCTGTGACCCCAGCACACTGATATCAGGAGGATTCAGTGATAGGCCTCAGAGACTCAGTCCCTGTCCCTTGGGGCCACCTGGCCAGGATGGAGGTACACAATGATTTTATGGTGTGTTGTGATAAGGCAGCCGGAGTTGAAGTACCCCAAGTGTCTGGGGGACCTGTCAAAGGAGGCGTGTCTGCCAGTAGGGTTTTCTAACTGAGCTCCAAGACCCAGGATTGTACCTGTTGCCTCCTCAGAAGGCAAGCAAGACGGACTCCCCACCTGCCTCCTACCTGGCCTCTGAGCCTCTCCCCATTATGCCTTTCTGAGCTCGGCTTCCTGCCTTGCAGGTTTCTTACTACAACCAGGCCACCCCGGGTTTTCTCAACTATGTGACCACCAACGTGGCAGGCCTGTCCACGGAATTCTACAATACGTTCAAGGCTTGTGAGAGTTTCCTGTTGGATAACCGGAATGACCTGGCCCCCAGCCTGCAGACCCTCTAGGGGCCACACCACCCTGCCCCAGGTCCTACACAGTGCGTGGAGCAAAGCATTTATTCACCCGGACTCCCCAGGGAAGCCTTCCACATTAGATGGTTCAGTCCTACTAGGCGGTCAGGTCCTGCTCACATCTGTCAGCAAGTCTTCTCGGTACTCCTGGGGTATGCTATAATAGACTCGGGTCCTGTCCATAGCCCTGGCCAACCACAAGCCAGCCCATACATCTGCACTGCTGTTCCCAGCAATGCTGTGGTGCACCGTGACAGTGGATCGAGGGGAGGCTGCCAGCAGCCTGGCCACAGCTTTGGCTGTGCTCCGACCCAGGGGCCCAGCCTGCAGCTGGAAGGACACCGGTTGCCAGAGCCCCTGACACAACTCCAGCATATCTGTGACCATCTGCTCCTGATAGCCACTGCCCAACACCTCTTCAGGCCAGCCTGGTGCCACGGTCACATGGGGGAAAACCTCAGCCACAGCTGTAAGCAGCTCTCTGCCGGCCACATGGCCAGGGACCACAAAATTACCATGTGAGATTGTGGCCCCCACCCACACAGGCCAGGACAGATGGCCGAGGGTGGAGAGGTGTGCCAGCGTGGCCAGGGATGGCCGGAGAGCTGCGGGTTCCACTATGTTCACATGGATGCCCCAGCGCCTGGGGTGAGCAGCCAGCTGCAGCAGACATGACTCCAGGGTCATAACAGGACCACCCGAGGCAAGCAGGACGGGCACAGGGTTCCCAGCTTCAGGTTGCTGGAGGCCGACATCCAGAAGAATCATGCCTTCGCTGTCTGGAAGAGGCAACAGTGTTTGGAGTACCTGTTATTATGGGATGTCAGTGTCTCTTGACAAAGGGGCAGTGGAGGTCACGGGGACAGACGAGGAGAAACTGGTACCAGCCATTCTCGAATCTGCCAGCCCCGTCTCAGGCTCCAAATGCTGTGACTGGTGACTCTCAGGCAGACATGACAAATTGCTGGCTCATTTCTTGGCCTTCCTAGTGACTCAGAGCTGGGTCACCACCCCCTCTTCTAGTCACAGTGTGGCTGAGGACTCGAGGCTGCTGGTCTAAGGCCAGGAGTCCCTGCTCTTGACATGATTCCTCCCACTTTGTATTCAGCGTGTGGCTTATCATGTTGCCATGGTAACAGAACCAAGTTACCCACCCAAGCAAATGACAGACCTGTGGGTTAGCCAGGAGCTTTAGGGCTGCAGGCAGACTCACCAGGGACAGTAATGGCTGCTGTTCTCCCACTGCCATTCACTTCTGGAACCAGCCACTCCACCTCTAGGCCATCACCCCTGGGCTGCTGAAGAAGAGGGATCAGGCTGCCACCTGTGTAGTAGGTTCGCGTCCGGGTGCTGTTCACTGTGGGACCCAAAATTGCCAAGGTGAAAGGACTACTATCCATGGTTACGTCTTGGCTCTCCTGCATCCTAAACCTTGTAGCTGTCAGTAGTTCCCTCTTGGGTAGATTAAAAGTTGTGGTCTCAAGGCCTGGCAACCAGTAAACAGTTTACTGGGTCAGAAACCAAATGGAGCTAGGGCTGGAGGACCCCAAAGCTGGTCTCCGCTGCTTCCCCGACACGGTTCCTTCAATAGGAGTGGTACCTGATGTGACCCCTTGGGATGGCTTCAGTGTAGGTGGTCCTAGACTCAGGGTCAAGAGAACTAGGGGTTCAGTGGTGGCATCTGGCTCATTAGTTAGTGAGCACGGAAGAGGGCTGTGCTCTGAAACACTAATGCCATCAAAGATGAGTGGCTGTGGAAACAAGGGGAGGTTGAATTGCTTGGTTCCGAGCAAGCTGCACTTCTGCAAATTCTTTGTAGCTTTGGACCTCCCTTTCCCTCTGTATGAACCAGATTCCTGCTTTGTGGATAGGTGAAGCTTGGATAGCATGCCATCCCAGGGGCAGAGCACAAGATCTCAGAATGGTTCCTGTTCCCCCTAGATGTCCTTTCTAGACGCCCCCTACTTCTGCTCCCATGCCCAACCAAGGCTGTCCTGACCAGAACCCAGCCTACACCTCCCCTTCTAGGCCCCCTTCCTACAGGCCAGCTGCTTGAACTGCGACAAGACAGGCTCAAAGAGGTCATAGTAGATTTGGTGGGTGGCACTGTTGTCCCGGATGAAGAGGAGATCGTCTACCGACACGGGGTCCGAGGCACCCTGCCACAGTGTCAGGCTGTACCTGGAACCAGAGAGCTGACTCAGTCCCACCTGGGCCCAGAAAGACCCCAGTTCTACTCCTATGCTCACAACTGAATGCCAGCTGAGCCCAGGAGTGGAACATCTCTGTCCTCCAGCTTCCCGCTAGCTTTCCTCTTGAGCACCATCCCTTCCAGGGGATGACGGAAAGCAGGAGTTGGGGGGGGATGTGGGCACTTGGGATGTCTATTTCTGAGTTACCCATCAATGGAAGCAGGGAACAACTTGTCACCAGAGGAGTACAAGCCAGAGGCAGGGCATTGTAGGAGGTTGCTAGGCCACTGGGGCCAGGGCAAGATGATCTTTAGGACCCCTTCTGCCATGTTCTTCTAGGATCAGAGCCCAGGATAGGTTTGGAACCAGCAGAGGGGGCTTCACCTCTCAGATTGGCCCAGGAGCCAGCTGAGGTGGGGCCAAGCGGCCCGTGCCATGATGGCCCGGATGGGGAAGGTGATCCTCTGGGGCAGCGCCCCCACCAGCTCCTGCATTTTCTTCACCATGGCTTGGGTGTATGTGCTGTTTGGCAGCTGAGGCACATACAGAGTGGTAAAGCCGGGGGAAATGGTGACATCTGGATACTTCTCCTGGACAAGTGCCAGGAACCTGCAGAGAACAGAGAGACCCACCTTTGCAGACCGGTTCTTGTCCCGGGGATGGGGGGCAGCCAGGCTTGTTGAGCTGTGCTTGGAGGTTGGCAGCACAGCTCTAAAGAACAACAGTGGTTTGCACAGGCTCCTCCTGATACTACCACCCTGTGTAGTCCCTGTCTGCCTCTGGTGGTCACTTACCAGGGCAGGCAGGGCCTTTTAATCATCCCCATGTGGACCGAGGGAGAGTTGAGTGAGACTTGTAAGGTGTGCAGATCAGCAAGATCTCCAAAGTTTCAGGTTCTTAATTTTTTTTTAATACGAGCCAAGCTTCATCAAGATTGCATGCCTGTAATCTCAGCACTTGGGAGGTGGCGGCAGGAGGATCAGGACTTAACCTCAGCTACATAGTGAGTGCAGGGTAGCCTGGGCTATATGAGACTGTCTCAAAGCAGTACATCAAAAGGACTTATTTGATTTTTTGATCTGATGAGGATTTACACAGGAAAGTCATCACCTACCGCCCAGCGTCCAGAGGCCCCTGAAGAGAGAAGCCTTTGTTCGTCTTGGGCCCTAGAATACATTTTAAAAATTATTTTCTTCAATTATATCTCATTTTGAGAATCACAGTAAATATTGGGTGAGTGGCTGGGCAGATGGAGGGAGAGGTGCCCGCAGACCACAAAGCTTGGGGAAGGAAAGGCCTGTGGGGACCTTTCCCTGCCGTTTTGTAGACTTAGACAGGCCATTTAACCTCTCAAAATGAAGATGACTAGTTGCTACCTCATTCTCCTAAGAGTTCAGTTGTATTCTGCAAGTAAAGTGCCTGAAACAGTGCCTGGGGCACAGTAAACATGCACACCATGCTCCCGTCATTGTGAATTTCCACATCAGAAAAATGGGAAAACTACTCCTAGCCAGACAGGGGCTGGATTTTCTGGAGGGCTGGGCAGGGAGCCATCTCTTTGTAACTTCTAGAAGGTAGAGTCCCGTGCGTGTTACTGGGGAGACAGGAAGAACATGGCCGTCTGCTCCCTAAGAGTCCACAATGGAATTAGGGCGAGGGGCCCAGGGGAAGTTCTTCAGGAACCTGGGGTACTAGGGACACTTCTGGAGATGGCAGAGACTGGGAAGAGACTCCAGAGAAAGGAGGACAAGTAAGCATGCTGGTGCACAGCAGGCATAGCAGAGACGGAGACAGAAGCATCTCAGGTTCAAGGCCAGCCTGAACTACATGCAGAGTCGAAGGCTGTTCAGGGATGCGTGAGAACTTGTCTCATCCTCTCCCACCACAAAAAAGGTATAAAGACAAACAAACCAGGAAACAAACAAACGAACAAAAACCAAGGTATAGTGGCCCATAACTGTAACGCTGGTACCAGGAGACAAAGGCAACAGGCGCCCCACGAGTAGGAGGCAGCTGGCTCATAGAATGAGTTCCAGGACAGCAAGGACTAACTAGAGAGACTGTGTCTTAAAAACACAGAGGGGCAGGCATCCAAGGCAAGAGGGAACAGCGCATGCGCGTGCTCAGAGGTGGCTGGCGAGATGGCCGCCAGGTAAAGCTGCTCGCCACCAAGGCTGATGACCCAGCTCAAGCCCCAGCCCCCACGTGGTGAAGAGAAAAAACAACTCTTGAAAGTCATCCTGACTTTCGCAGGTGCGCTGTGGCACACAGGCATAAAGACACTGGACAGAGGGAAAGGCTGGGCGCTGAGGTCTCGTGGTGGGACTGGCAGATGCGACAAAGATCCCCGTGCCCCCTTTCATGCTCAGTGCTGACAGAAGAGGGCTGGGCCCAGTGGGCAGAGGCTGAGCACTCACCGTGTGGCGTTTATCTCAACCGAGATAGGCACATTGGGGCCCCTAATGATGTCAGCATTGATCCACACCGGTCTCCGAACCCTGCCAGCCTCAGTCAGGTGCCGGAGGAGGTCCAGGGAGGGGCCCACAGCCTTGAGGCTCTTGAAGTCCAGTTTGATGCCTGCCGGAGAGGGGCAAGGGTTGGGGAACTGGAAGTTGACTTACTAGGTAGGAAAAGCTGGTAAGGGTGGGGCAGGTCTTGGGAGAGAGTGGGAAGATGGGGGCGGACGGTAGTGAGGTATGGGGAAGGCTTTCAGACAGGGAGAGCCAACACTTAAGAAGGGGCCCCCTCTCCATCCCAGGTAGGTAGAAAAAAAAAAAAACTGAGGGTCTGGGCTGGTTCAGGGAAACTCAGGCATGAAAGAGGAGTTTCTGGACAGGGCCGAGTCTGAGACCTGAACCCCAACAGCCTGTGAGGAGTCCACGAGGCCTCCAGCAAGTGACATTTGAGTAGAGAGGTTAACTAAATAGAAAAAGCACCCAAGTGTGAATGACTGCCCATCTTAACTGTGGAGACAAGAGATGAGACTTCCAAGTTAGAGACGTTAAAAGCCAAGCCAGGACAAGGGAGTCATGGAGGGTGAAAGCAGAGAAGTCACAGCCCGTGGGAGAAACAACATGGTTGTGACTGGAGTCCGTGCATCTGCTGGGTGGGTGAGGGCGATGACGGGGAGGAGGGAAGTGAGGGAGAGGGTGGTGTTAGGGTGAGGCCTCCACCCCAACAGGAAAGGGGAGTTGGGGGCAAGAGAGTTTGGCTTTATGTCAAGTTCTGTGGACCCACAGGGACCTCCTCTTGTCCGCCTCTCTTAGCTCCCCTGAGCCCGAGTGATGGAAGTCTGGGAGTGAGCAGCTCAGGGTGGGTCCTGGAGTCACCTCACCCAAGAGGGATCCCTACTTAAGAGCAGGGGGCTGGGGAGCCTGTAGGGCTGGCAGAGGGATTCCTTACCCTTCTGAGATGAGGTCAGTACAGCTTCCAGCCACTCCTGCAGGGTGTTGTCACTGTAGATGGCTGGAGGGTGGGCCATAATGGGCACCTCGGTCTCATTGACTGTGGTGAACCCTTCCACAGTGACATCTGCCTCCAAGACCATGATATCGCCTGTTTTTACGGAGAACTCAATCAGTACTTTAAAATACTCTGTCTATCTATCATCTGTCTATCATCTATCTATCTTCTGTTGAGAATTAAATAGTAACGTATCCCAGGTTAGGCAAGTCAGTAAGTGTTAATTATTATTTACACTTACCTAGGGTAACCCAGGACCATCTGGTGTACTTCTGCTGTCTCAACACAATTACTAATGATGACCTTGTTGGCAATCACGCATGCTCCAGTTTGGATGTCAAATGACTCACTACCTGCCCACATTTACCCAGGAGGGGACGTCACTTGCCTGGAATCACTGCCAGCATTCCCCTGTCCCACCTTGGGTCTCTCGTAGACCTCGCTAGTCTGGAACTTGCTATACGGCCCAGGATGACCCTGAAGTCCTAATCATCCTCCCCTGACTGTCCTGGTGCTGGGATTACAGGTGTTGCCCCCCACCATGCCCGGCCAGAGCGATGTCGAGTAAACACCAAGGTAAAACCTGAATTCTGGGGGCTGCCTCCACTGCACGCTGCCTTTTGCTCTCAACCTGCACATCCAGTCCAGATCATCCCAGCTCTGCCAGCTCTCTCAGAGGCCTGCTCCAGGGCCTGACAGCGGGGACACTGGGCCTCTCTGGCAAGGGTGAGTCTTTGTGTTCCTAGCTGCCAGTCCCGCCCCACCCTCTTGACCCTCACAGTGCTAGGCGGCCCTGGGTGAAGCTAGGTGGTGGGTCCTTTTGGCACCCCTCAGGCCTT